CTAAAAATATTAATGAAAAATTTAATAAAATAAAATTAGTAGATTGTATTAAATTAGATTTAAAAAATACTAAAAATTATATACAAGCTGTCAATATCTTTCTAAGGGTTGTAATTTAATTTTATAATTAAAACTTTTGTTAATAAACTAATAATATTATATTATTTTATAAGATTGTCAAAATTTAAAGAATATCTTAAAAAATATATTAACTCTATTTTAGCAGATTTTTCAGATTAGTTGTTTATAAGAAGAGTAATTGTAAAAAATTAAAAATGGAAGCAGAAATAAAATTTGAATTAGAATCATTTATCCTAAAAGAAATCACATACCTAATTTTTTTTTTAGATTTCCTTCATGTTTTATTTAATATATAAGAATTAGTAATGATTATATATATAAAATAATCTTTAATAGAAAGCAAAAATTATAACAAAACCTAATTTATAATATATAAATTTGCTGTTATATTTAATTATAAAAACTGGCTTTTAATTAAAAGTTATGTAATAAAAAGATTTAACATGTCTAAAAATATTTTATATATTATTCTTGATCTTTTAGATAATCTAGTATCTTTAACGCTATATATATACAAATTTATTTTAAAAAAATCATTTTGATAAATATATTAATGTAATATAATATTTCAGTTATAGACTATTATACAATGATTTTAATGTCATAATTATAACAAAATAATGTTAACTTTTTTGTCAAATATTTATTATTAAAAATAAATAAACTACTCAATAATCTATATCTTAAAGATGTATTTAAATATATTTGATAAATATTTTGTAAAGAATTATTATAATATATTATATCATTATATAAATGTAAAAGTATATATTTCTTAATTATTGTTACTACAAAAACCTTTTTGTAAAATTATTTTGAATTAATACAAGATTATCTTATATTAAAAAGATCTTGATAATCTAGTAAAACTTACAGCTATTTTTCACTTAAATTTTTTTGATAATTTGTAAAAAAATCCTAATTATACAGAATTAAAAAAAAGGAAAAAAAATTAAAAAGGATTTTTATTACTTTCTAATATTAAATTATTATTTTCATTAAAGACTTTACCATTAGAATATTATTCAGAATAATGACCATTGGCTAATAAATTATGTGATCATTTAGAATGCATAGATTTGTTATAGAGTGATAATATAGTATTAATTTGTAAACAAAGGTATCATAAAATATATTTTTAAACTTTGGATTTAAATGTCAATATTGTTTTAAATATCTTTTTGATTTAATTGATGAATTATCACAATTTTATAAACAAAGATTGCAAATGGATAAAGATATTAGAAAATTGGTAGATTCTGAAATTAAAGATTAAAGTGAAAATAATGAATTAGAAAATAATGAAAAACTAAAATATAAAAAAAGAAATTGAAATTAATATGACACTAAAAAAAGAATATTTGATATATTTTAATTTATCTGTATTAAATTATAATTTAAATTTACTATTATTTACAATATTAATAGAATTTATTGAAAACTATACATTGACCAAATGAATTAAATAAATTATCTATAACAAAGAAAAAACAGCATAATTTTTTCATTGTAAAACTATGTATTATAATAAATTTATTAAATAATAATAATCTAATTTATCACATGTAATATGCAATTTTACAATAAATTAGTTTTAAATTGATTGATTAATTAATGTAAACCATCATGTAAAATTAAACCAATAAATAGATTTTTAATTATGCTAAATAACATATAAAGACTTTGATAATATTATGAAAATTTTCAATTAATATAGTACTGAAAGTTTTAACTTAATAATAAAAATTGTAACACAAAATTTTTTCAACTTCTCAAAAAAGTAAAATTTTAATAAAATAAACTGGTAAATTTATTCTTTAAGATGAATACTATTAAATTATTAGTCAGATTTTCAAATAATGTCTATATAAAAAGTTATAAATATTTAAAAATAGATGTTTTTATATAACTAATTCAAATTTAAAATAAATCAAATTATGTACATATAATTTTATTAGTCATAATTTAATAATAATTTAAGCTGATACTATTATTATTATAATTCTGACCTGAACTTATACTCAGAAAATATTTTCTTTTGAATAAATTAAATTTTTTTTAGCTGATAACCCTTTTTTTTATAAAATTAATTATATCAATAAGATTTCTAGAAAGAAAGAATGTTATATATTTCAGAATTAAGTTTTTATTAGAGAATAGATGGAAAATAAAATTATTAAAGAATGGTCAGATGAGGTTGTTAAAAAGTTGACAAAGAATGAAATAGCATGATTTGTGTTCCTTTTACCAGTAACAGTTACACTTTGAGTTCTTTTGTAACATTTAAACTTGCTAATTTAGTTTTTCTTCTACTTGTATATATTATGTTGATTTTAGCTATTAGTCTATTTAACTTTCTTAACATCTCGCTATTAATTCTGTCTATATCATTCCATGTTTTTAGAATAAAGACTGTCTCTGAGAATCGTTCTATTTCAGTTTAGTTTAGATTTTCTTTGAATTTTATGGTAAGTATCTTCTAATCATTTATGTTATTCTTTTCTTTATACAATCATAATAAGATTTCTCTAAAGTTTCTTTGTTCTTCAAAGTCTCCTGATTGTCATTAAATGGTGATGAGTTTGTATACTTCTCAAAAATTTTTATATGCAACTATACCGTTATTTGATATATTATCACATGAATTTTTTGTCACGTACATGATACATCAAGCACTAAGGAAAGTTGTCTGAAATCTCTGAATAATATGATTGATCTTCTGCTGAAAGGTTTGTTTGCATTTTTTGAGAACGCTTGTCTAAGTCGTATGTTGATCTATATTAGCATACACCTGCCTACCATACTTTTCTAGTCTATAATTATGTTGTAGTCTTTCTTATAATTATTTTAACCTGATACTGTTTAGGTCAACATTTTTATTGTTGCAAATTAGTATATACAACATTGAGTATATTATTAATCTGTTTATATTAAACACTGCCACTCTTATAAGTATAATCACAATGGCTGGATCTTAGTTTCTTTTACTTGCTATTTTGTAGAGATATCATCTTATTGCCTATATAATAAAAGTTTTATAATACCTGCTGTACTTATAATGATTATTCTTAATGATTCTATGTGTTTATGCATGAATATTTTCTCATAATATGATTCAAATCTATTATACACCTTTTTTTGAATATCATTGAGATTTTGATACTCTGTTAACTCTTTTTCTACTTTTCTATTATTATTTCTCACATTGTTAGATATTTATTTAAGAAATTTACCTATACTTTCTAAGTCATTTATTGAGCAATATTATTTTGAATCATTAAATTAATCATAATTCTTATTCACATCTCTCCTTTCAAAATCATTGAAATGTTCGATGCTGAAGTTCAGACCTATTTCTACAAGGTATATTCAATTATACTGAATTTTTCTAATTCTTCTTCTTTAAGCTGTTCATCTGTACTTTCATCATTGCTTATATACTCTTCATTATCTACTGCATCTCTAATCAAATTTTTTAGGCTATTATTAATCATCTTAATGTTTTAGTTGTATATAGTCGACCAAGGTACTTTATTTTCATTTAGTTATGTAATACTTATATATGATATATGAAGTAGCATCTTTATCTGACAAAATCTCTCCCATTCATTTCTATTATAAAGAGGTGATAGTCATGGCCTTATTCTTAAAATATTTTTTTTATCTTTTTTACTTCTTATTGATTGGTTTATGTGTTAAATATAATGTGAATAATGATAAATCTTTTAGTTCTTTTAGTTGATTTCAGTATTATATTAAGGGTAATTAATTCGTGCTTTTTGCTTCTTTAATTGATATGAGTGTCTCTTCTTCTGGTCCTCTTCTTATTTTATGCAACTATCTTAACCCTTCTTTATTGAGATTTATGTTAATAAATGCATGACTTGAGTAGTAAAGTGGTGTGCTGAGAAGTAGATAACATATTTTTTGAGTGAAAATATCTCTTTTAGACACACTATTGATTAGAAGGTTTGTAATGGTTTCAGTAATGAATCATCTAGATTACTATTGCTAAAAATTTTATTGAATATCTCAGAAAATGCTATTGACCTTAGTTTGACTTTATTAGCATATTTAAAGATATATTGCAGTATTGCGTGAATACTTAATACTAGCTTTAAGTTAATATTAATATGCTAGTGTTCTATACAGATTTAGATCGATCCAAATCTAATCTGAATCTGACAAATCAGATTCAGATCAGATCTGTCAGATTCAGATCTAATTCAGATTCAGATTCAGATTAGATCAGATCTGTCAGATTCAAATTAGATTCAGATCTAATTTGTCAAATCTGAATTTAACTTTTTTAAAGCTGAAAAGTTCCTTTTCAATGAAAAGAAACGAATTTTTTGGACTTCTTTAAAGCCAAAAATTTATTTCCTTTCATTGAAAAGAAATAAATTTTCAGAACTCTTTTAGAGCCTAAAAGTTCCTTTTAATGAAAAGAAATGACTTTTCAGAACTCTTTTAGAACTGAAAAGGTTCCTTTCAATGAAAAGGAATGACTTTTTAGAACTCTTTTAAAGCCAAAAAGATTCTTTTCAATGAAAAGGAATAACTTTTCAAAACTCTTTTAGAGCTGAAAAAGTTCCTTTTAATGAAAAAGAATGACTTTTCAGAACTCTTTTAGAGCCAAAAAAATTCCTTTCATTGAAAAGAAACATTTTTAGATCTTTTTTAGAACTGAAAATTCATTTTTTCAATAATACTTTCAGATTCAGATCAGATCAGATTTGGATTTAAACTGATCTGTTAGATCCAGATTTGAGATTCAATCTGTCAGATTCAGATTAGATTTGGATTTCAACAGATCTATCAGATTCAAATCAGATTCAGATCTTGAAAAATGAAAATCAGATCAGATCAGATTTAGATAAAATCTGATCTTATCCAATTTTGCGAAATACTATAACATGCTATTCCTAAAGTTATATGAGTTTATATATAAATTATTCCGTTACCAATTCTGATTACCTCTATTTATCACTATGTATATTTATTTAATTATTAGTTTCCTTTAGATATCTGAACCTACATTGTTTTTTTTATTTTATTTAACACGAATGCAGTAAGATTCGTTATATCATGTATGCTTTTATAGCTTATTGATCAGTTTTATATAGTCTTGCATATCATCAGTTATTTTTTCACTGCTTTTTTGATATAAATGTTTCTCTGCTATAGGTGAGTTGATATCTAGGTTGATTATTGTTATAATTAAATGTATATATTCAATTGCATTTTTTATCAGATTCTCATTATTCTTTAATTCTTTTCATTCAATTATTAGTGCATTTTTTTTCTTTTCTATCTTATATACATGAATACTCCTCTGATATTACCATTTAAATCAGTATCATCATTCTTTTAGATCCCAATATAGTTTTAATACATTGTTAAAGATGTCTCAAACCTTTTATTAAAAAATTATGTTACAATATGTGAATTATCAATAATATTCTGTTGGGTGCTTCTTCAGTACTTTTTCCTTCTGATATAAGTTTGTATAATTTAGATCAATAAAAATCTGCTGCGCTAAATATAAAGAAAATAAGTCCTTAATGACTTATTTATTTAATCATATTCATTAATTTATACCGTCTTGTCATTTAAAATTGCCACATTTTATATAAATCTTCTCTGTATCTCATTATTCTGTCTGCTATTTATTTATCCCTATTACTAATCATTTCCTGTATACCTGTAATATCTATCTGATTGTCTTTGATATTTTGCTTGACAAATATTGCTTCTTCTTGCAGAGCCTCCATCTTGTTGATGAATTTACAATGAAGTACCTCTATCATGTGTGTTGTATAAACCTTCTATCTTCATATTATATAAGATGCTTAAAATACTCTGCCAGTTTGATTTCTCTAGTTTATTTCTTATTTGAGATTAACTTATCTATTTGGGTAGAGTGTAAGGAATGCTCTTATCATGTATCTTATTATTTAAAATTCATTTAAGGAAATACCTTCTATTTCTGGTTACATTATTAGTTGATTATTGCTTTAAGTGTTTCGCTTATAATAATTTCTTTACAGTATGTATTTGAAATTGATAGTACAAATGAACTTAATATTACATTCTCATCATTTACATTTTCTTCAGAGATATCTTCATCATTTTCATTATCTTCAGCGATATCTTCATTATTTTCATCTTTTTCAATAATATCTTCATCATTTTCATCATCTTCAATAGTGTTTTCATCATTTTCATCATCTTTGGCAGTATTTTTATCATTTTTAACTTTTTCAGAGATGTCTTTATCATTTTGTTCTTCTTAGATTTGAGGAAGTAAGTGGGCTACTATTCCATTCTCAGGTAGTGAATTGAAAATAGAGTTATCGATTGTTATATTTCTATAATATCAGTTATTTTGTTTTAATTATACTAATACTCTGCCTATTTTATTATGATATATGTTAAACTTTCTGAATGATGTTAGATCATTTACTGATTATTTTCATATCATAAGTACGTCTAGTGAAAATAGATGCTTTAAAAGACAATTTGTAAATGATTGGATGTCTTGTAGAAAGTTTATAATATTTCTTCTATATCCATTTTGTCCTCCTTTAAGTCTATATACTGTCATTACTGTGAAAACTTAGAATATCAGCATTTCTTCAATGTTCATAAGAACTTTAAGTTCTTTGGGAACTTCTCTTAGATCCATGTTGTTATTAGCTAAAAATTTCTTTAGTGAAATCCTTTCTGTATAGCATTATTGATATAAGTCCTATATAATTATTATTGATAGATTGCGTTCGTTACATATGGAACAGGTACTGTATTATATTTTATCCATTTTTTTATGAAATTTATTTAATATTTTTGTTTTTTATCAGCAATTATGCTTTCTATTACTCATCTTGTATCTGGCTAATTATTTTTCTTTTACTAGTTTTCTGTTTATAATCTTTAGTTATTTTTACAACTGCTTTTGTGCTCGTTAATAAGCCCGCTTCTTACGCTTGCAGTTATTTTCACTTGTATTATAGTTCATACTTTCCTTTATAGTCTCTGTTAATTTTTTTCTTTTTCTGAAGCTGATCACTTGTACATCGCATTTCTCTTTCTCCTTTCATTTTTCTGCCTTTTTTTATTCTCATTCATGTGTAAGACATACTTTATATTATTCTATCATTTCATTTTGTTATTTCTTTTGCTTCCTAATTATCTCTTGTATTAGTATTTTATTTGTTCATTTTATATTACAAGATTAATTTGTTTGCTGTTAAAATTAAGGATGTTAGTTTTCATTTTTATTTGAAAACTTATATTTTTTTATTTTTTGGATATGCATTCTTATATTGAGAATATAACTGTGATTAAAGAAAAATCTAAATCACATTTTTTTAATATTTATTATATATAAAATCATTTTAATCTCAATATAGCCTAATAAATTAAAGAACAATTAATAGACAACAATAATTTAAATAATTTTGTGTCTTTTTGATAAACAAAATAAAATATTTGAATAAATTAATTTATACTTTATTATTATTTTATTTTTATAATTATCTAATTATTTAAATTAACTAAAATTGTCTAATAAACCTTACTATATTGTTTTGAAGTTTAATTCACATTTTAATATTATATATTTTTTAAGGTTGTATCACTGCTAATCTATTTTGAATTACTTTTATTACATAAATTAAAAAGTATTATGTTTTAACATTCTAAACTTATAAACAATTTCTGTTTCCTAGTAATATTATAAAAGGGTTATCATTTAGCTTAAGTAAAAATGAGAGTTTTAGGTTTCACTCATTCTGTAAAAAATTATTTACTATTAGAAACTCTTTAAATTTCTTATTTTCTACAGAATGAGTAAAAATCCAAAACTCTCACTTTTACTTAAGCTCAGTAATAATTCTTTATAATACTATAATTTTATTTATTAATTAATAATCTAATAATAATAATAATAATAATAATATTTTTTCAATTTCAATTCAGTAATGTTCAAAATAAAATATATATCATTATAATATTCTTAACTTAACAAATACATTATAAAATTCTGATTAATAAATTACACATCTGAGACTTTTATTTTAATTCATTATTTTGTAAAAATATTTGAAAATTAATAGCATAGTACAATCATATGACTTGATTTGAAATTTAAATTCTTTTTTCTTTTATTTTATTATTGATATTTATTTACTTAATACTTCATATTTATTAGAATGTATTATTCTTGAATATTCAAAACTAATTAAACTAATTACTACTAGTTGATATAACTGTAAGTAACTAAATACTAATATTTTTTTTAATGCTTCAAATTCTTTTGTTATTTTAACTAATTTTTAATTTTTATTATTTGAAAAAGTTTCAATAGAAAATGGTATTAGGTTATCCTTTTCTTCTGATTTATTTAAAGATTCTTCTTCTTTTACATGATCTTTTCAAGAATTAAACTCTAGTTTAATTATAGGATTTATTTTACTCAAAATTTCATTTGTATTTCCTTTTTAGACATTTTATCAAATGATGTCATATCATATAATATATCATATGATTTTATTTTCAAAATTGCATTTTAATTCTGTAAATTACTTTATATAATTGTTTTAAGTTATTCAAAAATATTTTGAAGTTAGATATTTTAGAGATTTATTTTTAACAGAAATTATCAATTTGTTAACTTTATAATTAATCAGTTAAACTAAAATAATAATAAAAAGTAACATGTAAGAAATTATTAAATTATTATAGAATAAATTTATTATAATCAATCTTAAGTTTATAATTTAAATGAATAAATAACTTTATTAATTTGTAAAAATAATAAATACTTTGATTGTTAAAAGATTTTAATATATGTATAGCTTAGAAAAAGATTTCTTTATTGTAGAGATTGTATCTTTAGCAATCTTTAACTTTAGATTTTAAGTCTTTAACTCAAACTATTAAGTTATCACTATTATCTCTGTCCTTTTACAAGAACAATTTTTTATCCTATTTATATAAAATTATAATTATAAGAAGATCATTATCTAATGCTATTTTATATAAACTAAATTATAATGTTAAAATAAATATAAGATAATAAATTTTAACTATAATAAAAATAATAAAATAAATAATAATAATATATAAGATAAATATAAATAAAATAAAAATGTTAAATAAGTTAAAGAAGTTAAAACTATTAATTTTATTGATCTTTATAATGCAGTAGGATTGACTTCATATGGTATTAATATAAAAAGTATACTAGATTATAAGGTATAAATAAAACTTCAATTATTTTTAATTATATTTTTTAATTTTAAAATCATTTTAGAATATAATTTTTTTAAATATAAATTATCATTCAATTACAATTCAAAAAAAAATTATATAAATTGAATTCTGTAATATTTTACATGAGAAAAAAGTTTTTATATATATTAAATATTCATGTAATTAATAATATAATATTTTAATACCTTATTAATTTTGCTTTTTTTTTAAAAGTATTTAATAATTATTGATTTTTGTTAAAATTATTATTAGAATCTGATAAAAAACATTTTTTACTAGAATAAGTGATGAGTAAAATTTTTTCTATAGAAAATGGTAAAATGTAATTAGATACAGATAAATTAAAAATGGATTTGATAATATCTTTTAATTATACTTTCTATTTGTATATTTTTATTTAATAAAAATTATTTGCTTAATTGATTAATTTAATTTAATATTAATTAATAAATTTTTTACTAATATTTTAAATCAAATAAATTAAATAATTGTTATAAAAAATAAGTAATAAATTTTATTAAAAAGTATAAAGAAAATAAACTATATAAGATATTCATTATATTGAAAATATACTAGATTTTTATCAATTTATATATATGTATAATCTAAAGCATTTTCTGGATCTTTCATTGACTTAATCTAATTCTTATTTTAACACAAGTGATTTTTTGTATAAAAAAATGTTTATTCTATCTATATATTATAATTTAAATTAAATTTTAATTATTATTAATTTATAATTAGAGAAATATAAATAAAAATTTACGTAATGGATTATAATCTAAAAAGTATAGAGATAAAAATTCAAGTCTAATCTTTTGTCATTTACAAATATCTTTAAGATGTTAACCTTTATAAATTAATGTATTATCAAATACTAAAATATTATATAGTCTAGAAAATAGCTTTATTTTGAAAAACTAGCATAATATATATCTATATCAATTTGGTTAATTTTATTTAATACAAATTTGGATAAATCACTAATCAACATAAATTCTATAAAATATTCATAATCATTTAAATTTATTAGATCTTTTTAAATCTCATATACTAATAAACCATTTGTATTGTTAAATGGAATAACTCTTGAACTAATGATCAACATTTCGATGGAAATAGTATCATTAGAACCGTCTTGACG